GGGCAACTCACACGCCCACATCTACTCTTTCTTTTTATCTTTAATTAAATAAAAAATAAAAAATAACGTCTTTTCCATTAAGAATTCAGAAAATTATGAAATTGTTTTTAATTTTCTTCTTGATGATGAAATCATATTGGAAAATATCATTTTAAAATTATTTCATGACCTATATTGAGATTATGAGACCTACCGTATATTTGGTGTATAGCACAAAAAGAAAAAATATACCAGTTTATTTTTCTATTGCTGAGCATTTTAATATTATTTTGCATGATGCATGGTGGACATTAGTTTACTAATTTCCTAGGTTCGTTTAACCCAAAACATGCTTAAACATTGTTATCAAGCAATCTTCCCTCCCTCAAAGTTTTTGTCCTTCATTAACCACCTATAAAAATATCATCAACTCTTGAGCCTAATTACCATCTAATTATAGTTAAAATCCAACCACAATGTCAAAGCTGACAACCCTACCAACAACATTGTTCACAACCCTACTTCTGATTAGTACATTAATCAGTACTTATGAGCCTAATAGCACCACGATTAACAACGAACACCCTAATAATTGTATGAATTTCCAGACGGAGTTCCTCAGCAACTGTGATACGTTGCTCACGAGATCTTGCAATGAGTCAATTCAAAGCAACGCGACACAAGTTCACGAAGAATGTTGCCATCGGCTGGAGGTGTTGGATTTGTAGTGTCGTTGTAAAGAGTTGTTGCAGGTGGTTCAAAACTACAGGTTTTTGTTTACACAGGATAATTTGAGAGAAATGATGAGGGTTGCAAATAGGTGTCTTTTACTTGCAACTTGCCACCCTTGTATTCCTACTTCATGCTGATCGACACGTGGTTCGACCCTAAAAACAAAGCTTTCTTTTTTAATAAAATTTACACTGAAGAACAAAAGAATGCATGTTTGATACGAGTTTCTACAGAACGCAAGAAGCTTAAACATGTCCCAAGAACAAAAGAATGCATGCCACAACTACACCTGAGAACAGGGACGGACCCACAGTTGGTTCAATAGGGTCAAATGACCTTATGAATTCTATGGAAATAAGCTTGAAGGTCCTATTAAGTTGATTGTGCGATCCCAAGAAATTTCCTCCACTTGTTTGATATTTGATCCGAAGGAAAGGCTTGCTGCGCGAGGAACACTGTGTCGTTTTGGCCCAAGGCTTTCTGCACGAGGAATATTGTATAATACGTGAATTTTATGTGTCTTGTTGAGATTTTTGTAAAAAATATGTGTATTAAACATGAGAAATACTTGCGTACATGTATAATGTTGGTTTTTGCAAGGCATTGCAAATATGTTTGAGTTGAAATTAGTCCCACATTAGAAAACTATAGTTCCTTGAAGGTTTTTATAAGACCTACTCTTGGAAGAGTAATGCTACACTTACCACATTATTATCCCACATTTCTATACTACATGATGTGGCATATGACACATCAATTAAATGAATGAAGTGTATTTTAATAAATAAAATTAGAAAAACAAAAACTAGTATTTTACATGATGTCGTATATACACATCAGCTGCCACATCATGTGGTATAAAAATGTGGTAAGACTAGTATTATTCCTCTTGGAAATAGAATAGTTAGGATTGGGCTATGTAAGTGGCCCAATTGAGTGGCTTGTTGGGTTTGGTCTTTAGGTCAATGCCCAATTAGTTAGGTCATAACTCTGGAAAGTAAAATAAAAAAATAAAAAAAGACAATAGATACTCAAGTAATGGTCTAATAGTAATGGATAGGGTTCTTGCGGTATGGGGAAATTTAACTAAGACACTCAAACGATTTCACAAAAGACTTAATATATAGAAATTAATTATTTCGGTGGACTTTTTCTTTAATGTTTTAATATTAAATAATAATGAAAATATAATTACTAATTAAAGTAATTCAAAAAGGCTAAGATATTACTTAATTACATAAATTAAATTAAAGAAGTATACCATATTTTAAAAAGAGTTTTTCTATTTGAACCTTGCACTTTTCTTTGTTCACCCCATATTCTAAGTTCACCCCAACTTTTAATTCAAATTTTCACAATTTCTAATAAAACCCCACTATCTTCCCAAACTATCCCTAAATACACACCTAGCAGAAAAAAAAATATAAAAAAATATAAAAAAAACTCATCAACCTCACACCCCACACCCCATAGCCCGCTATCTTGTCCCTCACAACTCTAAGTTTACCTCAACTTCACATTACTTAAAGAGATAAAAACATTGTTGTTAAATGTGTAGCAGCATTATTTTATTATTGTGGGTTTAGGGTTTTAATGAAGATATTTGATTAATTTTGATGTTCTTGTTATTGGGTTTTAATGATTTTGCTTGTAGGGTTCACTTACTGCTCTTGTTGGAAGCGATTTCTATCAAAAGATCAGTGTTCAAGGTGCACCTTTCTTTATTGGGGTGTTATTAATTTCGTTTATTAGTATTTGTTTTTAACTGGACACAAGATTGAGGCTTGTTTGGTTATTGTCGTTATAAACTATGTGGCTTCGGAGTCTCGAAGATTTTCAAATGTGTTGTAAAATGAGAAGGTTCCGAAATTCTCCTTTTTCTGTAGTTATAGTGGAGGATAAGCTATTGTGATATTGATACCATTTTTTGGGTTCTTAGCTCGACCTTAGAAGCATTAGTTTTAATTAGTTTTTGCAAATTGCAGACTTTACGAGTCTTCAAGGATGAAGCTTATAGAAAAAAATTGCTTGTTTCATTTTTATAATTTCCCCTTTTCTTCTTTTGAGGATCTTATAATCTTGATGGCATTGTAACATTAATTATCTCTTTAAGCAGCACACCTCAATTGATGACTCATAAGCCACTATTTGCATATTGTATTTAGGGTTTGTGAAGAAGATGAGAGTGTAGTAGGTTTCTTGGATTGAAAAAGAAGAGTAATCTGACACTAGGGTGCAGAGGAGTTTGTGTTTTTCTAAAACTTAATATGAAGAGTGGTGGTGTGTGTGTATAAATGTACTGGGTTAAGTATTAAGTTGAATGACCATTTTTGTGTTTTATACAATAATAAAACTTAAGAGCTTAATGATTTAAGTATTGGGTTGAATAAAGAAAAGTGTAGGGTTTAAATAGGAAAACTCTTTTAAAAATTAGGAAAAACAAGTATAACCGCACGGCTACAATATTTCTTAAAAGAATTTAAAAAATCTAGTATAGCCGGTCGGCTATACTATATATAAACCTGCCCATGTGTAAAAAGGTAATGCCGTGCGGCTATACTAGTTTCAAAGACAATTTTAAAAAATTGGTATAGCCGGCCGGCTATATTATTTAATACCAAAAAAAAAAAAAAAAAAAAAAAAAAAACCTTATTTGCATTAGTTTATACTTTTATATATCTTAATTTGCTAGTTTCAACATATCCAAAGTAGATATTAATCTTCCCCTATATAATATTTCAATATATTTTTTTTATAACATATGTTATTCTTATTACATAATATGTGAGAATTATTTGTATAATACGTGAATTTTGTGTGTCTTACTGAAAATTTTGTAAGAAATACGTTTACTAAATGTTAGAAATACGTACGTACATGTACAATACGACTATTGTACTTCTGCCTTTAAAAACAATGTGAGACATGTATAGAACACTAATGTATTATTGAAAAATATATGTGTATATATATGTAAAATGCTTTGCTTTAAATATAATTTATTTAAATAGTATAGGGGTACAGCCGCGCGTTTATACTATTTTTTTTTTAAACACAAAGTGTAGCCGACTGGCTATACGATTTATTTTAAAAAATATTAGAAAAACCGATATTTCTTCTTAAAAAACAGAGTATAGCCGCCCGGCTATACGATTTCTTTAAAGACATTTAAAAAACCGAGTATAGCCGGTCAGCTATATGATTTCTTTTTAAAACAAAAGGAAATTTTTAAAAACAGAGTATAGCCGTGCGGCTACACTATTTCTTTATAGAAAATTTTAAAACCGCGTATAGCCGAGCGGCTATACTATTTGGAAAAGAAAAAAGGGGCTACAGCCTGCATGATTTCTTAAAGCAGAGTATAGCCGCTTGGCTCTACTATTTGAAAATGTTAGAAAAAACCGAGTACAGCCGCTGGACGACACTATTTCTTAAAAAAAAAAAACAAGGTATAGCTGTACTATTTCGTTAGAAACACCGATTTCTCTTCCAAAAAAATAGAGTATAGCCGCGAGGCTATATGTTTTCTTTTAAAAAAAATTAGAAAACCGAGTATAGCCGCTCGGCTATACGATTTCTTTTTTTTTTTAAACAGAGTATAGCCGTGCGGCTATACCATTTCTTTTTAAAAAGGGTTTTTCACAGCAATGGTCCTTCAACTATACCCATATTTGCATTTGGGTCACTGAATTCAGTTATTAGTTGCAGAGGTCACTCAACTGTGCATTTCGTTGCACCAGTAGTCCTTCCGTCAAGTCTGGCTAACGTGGTGTCAATTTCATGGGCAAATTTGTCTTTTGAAGTCTGGCATGCCCAACCTCCCATCTACAGCAACTTCCCTCCGAAAAATGTCAAATCTGGCGCCAAATAAATCCCTAATTCCCATTTATATTCGAAGAAAGCCACATAAAAACAGTAGATGTGTTGAAATTTTAGAAATTCGAAGGAAATCTGGGAAGCCACATAAAAATAGTAGATTCGCAAAAATGTCGCAGATTTCTTTTTCATCAACAAATCCGAGCCCTAGTGCGAAGAAGCTATGCATGTGCGGTGGATATATCAAAACCTGGACTTCATGGACTGATTTAAATCCTGTGAGAATATTTGAGGCTTGTGAGATGAGCCAAGTAACTTAATCTGTGAAATTTTATTTTGTTGCTTGATGGGCTTAGCTTTGATGTTATGAAACGTACTTTGCAGAGAAACATAGGAAATGGGCATCATTGAGAGTGGTTGGACGCACCGACCTGTGCAAGAGAAAAGAACTAATTCCTGGGTTGCTGAGAAGAATGAGAGCAATGGAAGATGACCTAAAGTTAATAGAAGAACAGAAGACAGAAGTGGAAGATAAGCTGAAAATGGTGGAGCGAGAAAACAAGGAATTGGAGTACGAAGTTGGAGAACTAGGCAAGCAGAAAAGACTGTTGGAAGAGAAAAGAACAGGCCAACGACCAAGAAAGAATCAGATTTGGGGGGTTTCATTTTTGTCATTGGGTCTTGGGTTTTTGGTGATTATGATGATGCACTGTGTCTTGAGCAATTGGTTGACATTTCCGGGTGGAAACTATGAAAAGCTTATGATCAATTAGGTCGAAATGTAACCGATATGTAGTTTATTTTGCAATGAAATTTGAGTTCGAGTTTAGTGGACATATTGGTGTTAGTGTATCGAAATTTGAGTTCATTTTGCATTGAAATTTGATGATGCTATGTACCAATTCCAAAATGTACCAAATCAACAGTTACAACACCTAGTTCCAAAATGTACCAAATCAGCATATATAACATCCAGTTACAGCTTCCAAAATGTACCAAATCAGGTTCCAAGTGAAACAGAAGCATAATGTACCAAATGTACCTAATCGGGTTCCAAGTTACAGCTTCCAAAATATACCAAATGTACCAGTTCAAGTTCCAAAATGTACCAAATACAAAACAATGACATCCAGCCTAGAGACTCAAAAAACACATCTAACAAACCGTTCATAAAACACATCTAGCTACTTCAAAAAAGACAACCAACAGACATCCTCCTAGTTAGCCTTCAAAACATCCATGGTTTAAGCTTCTTGGCAGGAGACTTGAATCTCTTGGCAAGAGACTTAGGTGGTTGTGATGATGATGATATAGCTCTAGTGTAAGAGACTGGCTGTGATGCTGATGGGAGTGGTTGTGATGATGAGAAATTGTTTGGCATTTCTGTTGTCCCATTTCCAACCTAAAATAAAATAGAACCATATTAACTAACTAAAGTAAATTAACCAACCAAAGTAGCATGATAGAGTTGTCACTTACATTTCCTCTTCCAGTTGGCATTTCTCCTCTCCCATTTCCTTTCCCTCTTCCTATAGTAGTTCCTCTACCTCTCCCTCTGCCTCTAGTTAGGTTGGGCTTATTAGGGTGGGCCTAAAAAATAAAAATAAACATGATATAAACTAAACAATAACAAAAAAAAAGGGTCATATGAACTGGTTGGGCCTAAAGACCAAAAAAGAATTAAACTAAAGAGATTTTAACCCAAATACCTAAGCTGCCCCTTGGACTGTAGAAGAGGCAACTGATCATTGGTTGGGCTGATTAGGAACGGCCTACAATAACAAAAACAGAAAACCAATTAAAGTTGTCAACAACAAAAGTAAATTAAACTACAAAATGCATTACCCAAATACCTGAGCTGCCCCTTGGACTGTAGAAGAGCCAACTGCTCATTGGTTGAGCTAATTAGGAATGGCCTACAATAACAATAACAAAAAACTAATTTAAGTAAATAATAACAAAGTAAATTAAACTACAGAACATATAACCCAAATACCTGTGTTGTCCTTTGGTTGGCATGCCGTGTCTTATTACGTCCCTCCTGGCCACAAATTGAGCATCTTATCTTGACATTAATCCTTCTCAACTTAGTAGGTGGTGGATTGTAAAATGGAGGCAAAGGGTTTGGAGGAACTGGAACAGGTACTTCAACATCAGCTGGTTCTTTGTTCCTTAATTTCTTAGGTCTTCCAGGTTGCTTCTTATATGGAGGAGGTTTAATTGGAGGCCAATTAGTTCTCTGCCATTGGTCCATAGATGGTATTGGGCGTACCATAGGTTCATATGAACTCAGGTAGGCTGTTTTCTTATAGCAGTCATGTGCATAGTCAAACACATTTGCCTTTGTTTGAAATATACAAGAAGTAACATGAGAATATGGGATCCCACACAATTCTCATCTTCTACAAGAGCAAGTCTTGACTTTTAGATCCACTACATACTCTCCCCCATACATATGGCTCACTTGGTATTTGCTCTCACCTACTAATCTAGGAATGCATTGACTAGCTCCCAACTTGTTTTTCTCAATGATCTTGACAATCCTAGGCCCAATTGGATGTCTCCAAACCGTACCAGCAATCCTTCTATTATCCATCCTTAACATGATATAAACTCTAATCATTTCTAGACATGTTAAGATAGACTTGTCTCTTAAATCTAAAATGCAAGAGTTAAAGGATTCACAGAGGTTGTTCAACAACATATCACACTTAAAATGTGGCTCAAAATGAGATATACTCCAATTTTTGGCTAATATTTTCTTAACCTATTTGCATGCCTCTTCATCTTGCTCTTTCATCTTGTCCATTTCTGCTTCATACAGGGAATGGTAGTTGCTCTTGCCGCAGCCCAAGGAATGTTTTTCAATGCATGGCCAGCATGTTCTGTCCTGAAGTTGCTGTAAAGATGCCTAACACACATTCTGTGCTTAGCTGTTGGAAGCAATGTCTCAATTGCAGGTATTAGACCTTTTTGCTTGTCACTCATAAACACTCAAGCTTTCCCATTCTCAATTTTTAAGTCTTCAATCAAAAGTTCAAGGAAACAAATCCAACTACTTTTTGATTCCACCTCTACAACAACATAAGCAACTGGGTACAGTCCATTATTCCCATCAACACCAACGACTGTTAAAACTTGCCATGTGTAAGGTCCCTTTAAATGGCAACCATCTATACCAATCAGAGGTCTACATCCTGCCAAAAATCCTCACTTACAAGCTTCCAAACATACATAATTCTTTCAAACATAGGTACATTACCCTTCATCTTATTCTTTATAATTACAGTGATGCCCTTGTTATCCTTCTTCAATTCTTTTGCATAGTCTCATAGCCTTGCATATTACTCCACATAGCTGCCTTCAATGATCACCTTGGACAAGTTTTTTGCTCTATAAATCTTATGCTTTGAAACATTCATATGGTACTTTTCTAAAACCTCAGCCTTGAATGCCCCTACATCCCACTCAGGATTTTTCCTAATCTTGTCAGCAAACCTTTTGGACAGCCACCTTGAATTAGTATATTTCAGTTTGTCCACTCTAGTACACTCATGCTCTAAGGACAGAGTCTTTATGCCAAATGTCTGCTCATCTCTGTATATCTTGGAAGCAAACAGAATAAAATGGCATTTCGTGTGACCTGCACACTTTGCTTGAATCCTTTTATTATCATTATTCACCAATTTAACATTCCTCCCTTGCATAATTGCATACTCCTTAATAGCTTCCTTGAGTTCATCCTTATTGGCAAATCGCATTCCAATTCTAAACTCTGGATTTCTCAAATCAGTTTCTTTCCTAAACTGTTTAAAATTTGTCTTCTTCCATTTCCTCTTGCTTGTCTTTGTTTTTTTCACTTTCTTCCTCATCACCAGAGCTATCAACATAAGAAGGAAGTCGATCACTATCTTCATCATCATCTGATATATCCCCTGTAGCTTCATTAAGGCCCCGTTTGGGATTGCTTTTTTTCGCCAAAAACCTGCTTCACTTTAAAGTTAAGCAGTCTAAGGTGTTTGATAAAAATAAAATATCCCGATTATTTTAAAAGCAGTGTCCTTTTGACAGCAGCTTTTAAAAGCATGCTATGGGTTGCTTTTCAAAGTTGTTTTCAAAATAAGCAAAGATGAACCTTTAATAAATTTTTTAATTCCCAAAATACCATCATTCATTTTTAAAAATAACACCACCTCCACTTTTACATATAACTCCACCACTTACACCACCACATTCACTACCTCCACAACCACCGCCATCGCCACCACCACCACCACCACCACCAACTCCACCTTCACCTCCACCACAACCACCACCACCAACTCCACCTTCACCTCCACCTCCACCACCACTACCACCACAACCACCACCTCCTCCAAAACCTTCACAACTAACACCACCACCACCACCACCATGCTGCCACCTCCACCACCATGCTATCACTACCACCACCTCCACAAGCACCATCCCTACCACCACCACTACCACAACCACCAACTCCACCTTCATCACCACCACCACCTCCACTCTATCACTACCACTACTACCACATGATTAGTACATAACACTTTTAACATCATATCTATTTTAGTCATTATTCACAGTTACAACAATTTTATATTAAAACTTACCAAACGGTTTCGACACTGCTTTTGTACTAACAGCACTTTAAAAATATTGTTTACCAAACATGGAGCTGCTTTACTTTACAGCTAATTATTTTCAAAGCCCAGCAGAAGCAACTTTTTTCAGAAGTGACAGTAATCCCAAACTGGGCCTAAGAGGCATTTCATTCATCTCTTCAAAACATTATGCATATTCATCATTTGGTGCACCGTTCCTTGGTTGTGCTCTTGATGCAGCCTATTTATTACCATCTTCTTCTTCTTCACTTAATTCATAATCACTGTCAACAATAACATTCTCTTTTTCCTCATCTTCCTCTTCATATTCATCTTCATTGCCAACATCTTCACTGTGCTGTTGTTGCCCTTTATCTTCACTCTCTAGCTCGTTGTTATGAGTATGATCATGGTAATACAACACCAATACCTGATCTGATGAAATGCTCCCAACCAATCCTAGAATACAACTATCATTTACAACCTCATTCACAACATACTGACCACTTTTTACAGGCCCCTTATAGTAAACTTTTAAGCTTGTAACCCTTTGTGTTATATCAACTTTGTATCCAAGATCTATCCCAATTTTCTTTAAATCCAATAATGACAGATAGTCATGAATACAGTTGTCAACATAGCATACTTTGCCTCCATACACGCCATTCTCCAACATACCAAAGTGGTGGAGTTCAAGAGTACACAACTCTTCTTTATCTACCACATTACACAAAGGTATGCTTACAAACAATGTCAATGATAATGAGGACAAAGTAAACAAGGAAGACAAAGTAAGTGCAGGCATGTGCAAGTGTGAAATCACTTCCATGAGAAACCGACAGAATTGGGACCACAGACAATAATAAAGATTCCAACTACATTTTTTTCCACCTTAAAGCCAAAACTTCATTGTCAACAACTGGACCACACATTTGCAAACATAATATATTGCAATATAAAATGCAGAAGGAATATTTAGGTTATAGTAACTTACCATACTTGGGGGCTTCTCTAGACCATCGAAAAATTGTCTCCATTTGAAGAAGCCTCCACACACTGTAGACCCGACACTTTTCTTTATGATTTCCACGAAACTGAAATCCTATATTTGTACTTTATCGCTTTTTTAACTCAAAATACTTCGCTACTTAGTTCATTAACGCATAATGCTGAGATAATGTTCCAAAATCCCCCAAAAATCGAAGTCCAATGCCTCTCGATTTGAAAACCCTAGACACGATTTTCCCCTTTTGCTCAGACTGTCATTTCTGTGCAACTGTCGTTCTTTTCAAAACCAAAAGATTCGTTTTAATTAACTGAAAAGTCAGATTTGCCCCTCACGAATCTATGAGATTCTCACAGATGCTTGCCACGTCATCATTTTAAACGAAAAAAACTAATGGACTTGACGGAAGGACTACTGGTGCAACGAAATACATAGTTGAGTGATCTCTGCAACTAATAATTGAGTTTAGTGATCCAAATGCAACTACGAGTATAGTTGAGAGACCATTGCTGAGAAAAACCCTTTAAAAAATTAGAAAAATCCGAGTATAGCCGCCCGACTATACTGTTTCTTTGAAAAATATTCCCAAAAACCGAGTATAGCCGCCCGGCTATATTATTTCTTTTAAAAAAAAAGGGACCCTTGCAGATTATAACATTCAGAAGGAGTCCACCCTCCACCTTGTCCTCCGTCTTCGTGGTGGTTTCTGATTTCTGAGAGATTCTTGTGGTGCCTTTCATCTTGGTTTGCAGAACTCTCATTTTATTACCTGTTTTTTATTCTCGTAATTAGTTAATGAATGCCAATGTTTTCTTTTACATATGGTTTTAGAATGTAAATTTGACATTTATTAAATGTTGAGAGCTAGCTGTTATTTCCCAATAATATACAAACGCAGTCATGCATAGAATGATCTCTACCTTAATCTCCCGCATAATTACAAGATTAACAACACAGAGTATTTAGAAGGTGCTTTTTCGACTTATAATCAAAGGCAACGACTATTTGGTCTAGTGATATTTAGTCTCTACGACAATTGTTGTTACTCATATTTTATGTTTATATTTTCCTGGTTGATTAATTGTTGCTAGCTTGCTGCAACAAAAATTAAATTACCATTTACATACCAAACCCTTGAAGTACTAATTCTCTGTGGATGGATGGTGCAGAAAAATTTTAAGTTTTGTTTTTTTGTTGTGATGAGATAGGGGGGGGAAAACCCCAAAGAGAAACGACAACTAACTAATACAGATCAAGCGAGACCTAACAACGCCTAACAAATCATCCACTACACAAAGCTTTCTTTTTTATTTTCTTTCTTTTTTAATAAAATTTACACTGAAGAACAAAAGAATGCATGTTTGATACAAGTTTCTAGGCAACAACGCAAGAAACTTCAACATGTCCCAAGAAATTAATGCCACAACAACTACAGTCTATAAAGTCTGGAGATCAACCAACCAACACAGAGCCACTCTGCAAAATTATGATAAATATTGACTGTTATCTAAATCAGTCACCGCCAATATTTCAGAACTTGGTCATTAATGGTCCCCACCCCGATTCCTTTATTTTTATTTTATTTTTTTATTTAGCCATTATCATCCTTTGCTCCTTTATCTGAATGTCTGTTGATACTAGTTGTTTATCCTTTACAAACACTAGTACATACATGCCGCATGCATACGTTACAATTAAGTCCTAATACTAATCTATATAATATGTATAAAAGAGTAAGAAAAGTATTTTAAATTTGTATAAATACATAGCTTTGTCCAAGTTCCTAAACGTATCCATTAACAGTATGGTTGGATTGGTTCCAATTCCAATTGAGTGATTCGAATCCACTGATTTTTTCATTTACTGACTACGTTACTAACCTATTTTCTAATTGGCTAATAAATATAGTACAAATAGTATTATTGTTTAGTAGATTGCTCACACAATGTTTTTTTTATTGTGGTGCGCCTTATTTCTATCGATTACAATTTCATACATAAGTAAAAATGATATATCAAAAACACGAAAATAAAATATTTTTGCACGCATATCAAAATGTGATTGACAAATTTATCTCGTGATTGTGAAAGTTGGCCGGCAATATCCTCCTTTCAATACTCTCCATTGATTCCGGAGTCGCGCAAAAGGTCATTGATGAAATTATCCAAATCCCTTAAGAACGAGTTCTCATGATCTTTTCTCACAGAACCAGGAAGAGTTGCATCTGCTGCATTCTCAACCATTGGATCATGATCATGATCGTCATGCGATGGGATCATGGGAGAAGCCTTTGTGCAATTGAATGTCTTAATGCCACGTTGATTATTAGGGCTTCGTCCTTCCTCTAGAACCCTCTTGCTCAAATTAATATTCCAGAAGTTCTTGATTTCATTATCTGTCCGACCTGGTAATCTTCCCGCGATGAGGGACCACCTAATCATCACCATAACCATAATGTTAATTCAGATAGATAAACATTTATTTAATTAAACATTATTAATTGTTTATTAATAGCTTGGAAGACCGTATGACGTGTCAGTATGTCATACTTGTTTCCAAGAAGCTTGTGCATTCTGATAATGAGGTCTTCTTCTTCTGGAGAAATGTTGCCTCTCTTAACATCAGGCCTAAGATAATTCAACCATCGCAGTCTGCAACTTTTCCCACTCCGCTTCAACCCTGCAACAAGAAAGAGATGTTATAAGAAACTAAATACTTATAGCAACATGGCTCGAAATATATATATATATATATATATATATATATATATATATACGAACCAGTTTTTTTAGAAACATGGCTCCATTTTCCTTCTCCATGTGTTTTGATGTAGTCAGCAAGGACTTTATCTTCCTCAGCACACCATGCTCCTCTCTTTTGCCCGTCTTTATCACCGGAAGGTTTCCTCCCCATCTCTCTCTCTCTCTCTCTCTCTCTCTCTCTGTGAGTATTTGAATTTCAAACACAAATTACTGACAGGAGAAGAAGATATCCCAGCATGTTGGGTATATATATGGTCTGTGTGCGGCCTGCCTGAGAAGATATATATATACACGTCCCTTTTTTACTTGAATTTCCTAACAATATATAAACCAAAACGAAATATCTACAACAATTTAAGGAAGAAAAAAAAAAGGGCAAACGAAATATCCACAACGTGTGCTGGCAGTGGCACCGCCATCTTCAATGACTCTGCTATCTCAGTCAGTCTCATGAGCTATGCTGATCTGATCTCAGAGCATTATGTATGGATAGATCAACCCCCAGGTAAAAATTATGCTAATTCGTCTTTTTTTTACCACAATTAATTAAACTTCCAAAATCAAACTTCTGTTTTTTTTTCTTTCGGCATAGCCTCTTTTAATTTCTAGTTATTATACTGAGTTTTGTTTTGAAGAGAAAATGCATGTTCAAATAATGATAGAGGAATCACATTAATTTTCTTGACCAAATTATAACTGCTCATATAATAATTGATCTAAATATGTTCAACTAAGGTGGCCAAAAAGTGCAGACATTGGCTTAGTCAAGTTGACTAGAACAAATGTGCTCCTCATTTTACACCCGATTTCGAATTCCCTACACACTGTAGTTTAGATTAGATTAAAGCGAAATATCATTTGTTAAAATAAAAAAATTATATATATAAAAAAAAAAGTATAATCGTTTTAGAATATATAATTTATTATGCGAGTTTTTCTTACTTTTTCTTACTTTAGCTCGTGAGTCGTGACATAAGTTGTATACATGACATTTGGTATAACTTCTAATTTTGCTAAGCTCAAAAGACTTCAGAGAGATTGAAAAAGAAAATGGAGGGGAAGAAGAAGAAGGAGAAAACAAGGAAATATATCTTTTTATTCAACAATTGTTGTTCATCTTTTTAATATTAAACTTATTCGAACAAGTGGAAATTGAATGTCACTAAACCAAATAGTTAAAAAGATAAATTCCGATATTAATACCGGCCAAATGTTGTAGTAAAATCGAGTGAGTAAGTAGGCAATATGTACGTCCCCTTGTCTTAAATATGAATCCATGTGCAAAGAGCCAGTGGTTGGACCACCCCTCTTGTTTATGGGAGAAAACAGAACCACTTGGGGACTGACTAATATATAAACATATATATGTGTATACATTTTGCTGTTTTGTTGTAAAAAAGTGCACAAATTATTTCAACGATTAGAATTGTCTATATTTTAAGTTATCCTTGCAAAAGTCAACTAAATCCGAAATTGTTTAATCATTAAAATTATTTTTCTTGATGTGTAGGTTATTTGATCTTTTAACACGATAATTATATATTGTATACGAATTAATGGATCATAATTTTCATCAATTCTGTCTAAGCCTGCATGCATGCGTGGTCATTATCAAGAATTCTATAGTAAGGGCCTTATATCTCTTAATCATTTAAATTGATTAGTCGTTAGATTAAATTAATTAATTTATTTCAAAATTTAAGAAATAAGACTTCATTTAAGACCATCTCCAACCATGTTAGGGCTAAACTCAAATTTCCACCCTTCAAAATACAACTATTCATGTATTTTCAGAACTCAAAATTTTTTTTTCTCTAACCTTGTAGACTCATAATTTGAGTTAGCAACTTTATTAAATTGTTTAAGAATGAATAACCCCTATTTTTTTTTCTTGTTAATTTTTCTTGACATTATTTTTGTTTCAATACTCGTGATTTAATTTTCTAAACAGTTTAACCTAAACCCTAAAATTCGAAAACATAATAGAATTTCACTTAAAAATAAAAACAAATACAACACCATACGTATGCCCGGAATAATTCGAACCCTTCCTTGAAGCCATTGCCATAATTTTCTTTCATTTTTACTTTTACTTTTAATTCATTGGATTCCTTTATCCTCATATAATAATGTTCTGAACTTTTTCTCACCTCCACTTGTGTTCTTCAATTATTTTCTGAACTCTTTCCCATCCCCTATTGTTTTGTTTCAATCATGTTCTGAACCATTGCTCAACTTTGTCCATCTCACTTTATTGGATTCCCTTATCTTTCCCTATTTCTTCCTATCTTTATTCAATTATTTTCTTAACCATTTCCCATCTTGGCTTGTTTCAATCACGTTCTGAACCATTGCTCATCTTTGTTCATCTCACTTTATTGGATTCCCTTATTTTCCTATCTTCATTCAATTATTTTCAAACATATAGGTCATCTCATTCTCTTGTCTATTTAAGAAGTGTTATTCTACTGAATTGACCACACAGTCTCCTTCAATTATCCTTCTTACAATGAATTCAAGTGGGAAGGCTATACAAAATTTCTTCAATGATGATTCTGATGATGATGACCTTCATCAACAGAGGGTTGCAATGGCTGTTCAACACCATACGTTTTTGCTAGAGCAATATGCTCAACAATCCAAACATGGTGGTTCTGTTGCAGGCCGTGAATACAAGAATCGGAAGAGAGAAAAGCATCATAAGAGTCTCATAGAGGACTACTTTTGTGAAAGACCACTTTAACCCCCAGTGGACTTTTGCAGGAAATTCCGCATGAGAAGAGAGCTTTTCTATCGCATCTTGAATGATGTTGTTGCACATGAGCTATACTTTACCCAGAAGATAGACGCTTGTGAATGACAAAGTCTATCCCTAGATCAGAAGCTAACAACCGTTTTTCAAATGTTCGGCAGACTCCACCGACGAATACTGTAGATTGGGTGAATCTACAACCCTTGAATGTTTGTGAAAGTTTTGTTCTGTTATTGAAGCCGTGTATGGTCAGTGGTACCTCCGTTCCCCAAATCTGGCTGACCTTTACAGGCCCTTGCACAAGGCTAGTCACAGAGGATTCCCAGGCATGTTAGGCAGTCTTGATTGCATGCATTGGGAATGGAAGAACTGCCCCACTGCTTGGGCAGGCCAGTTTACTGGCTACAAGCATAAGCTAACTGTCGTTCTAGAAGCAGTGGCCTCGTATGACACTTCGATATGGCATGTCATTTTTTAGCGTTGTCGGATCAAACAACGATATCAACGTTCTAGCTCGTTCTCTGTTGTTCAATAATTTAGTGAATGGAGTGTCTCCCCATATCCAATATGTTGTCAATGGAAATGAATATAATCTGGGTTATTACTTGGCTGATGGTATCTACTCTCGTTGGGCTACATTGGTTAAGACGATTTCCCAACCGGATACTAAAAAAAAAGACTATTTGCCCAAAAACAAGAGGCTTATAGGAAGGATGTCGAAAGAGCCTTCGGAATACTTCAGGCTCAATGGGCAATTGTTAGGGGACCTGCACGTATGTGGCGCAAAGAACAACTTCATTCAAATATGATGACGTGCATAATATTGCACAACATGATTGTTGAGGATGAGTATGAGGATCTAGATGCAAAATCTGATGATAAAGACAATTGTCCACGAACATCTAGAAGAGCAAGAGCAAGACTTGCTTATGAGCTTGAGCCAACTATCACGTATGATATAAACCGAGACAGACAAACTATCTCAGACTACATGGTCCATCATAATAGAGTTCGTGCTTCACAAGTGCATCACAATCTAAGAAATGATTTGATCAACCACATTTGGAGATGCGAAGGAGAGGGGCAATGAGCTATGTTGTGTGTTAAAATTATGTAAGTGTGTTTAAATTATGTTGTGTGTTTAAATTATGAAAATGTGTTTAAATTATGTTGTGTGTTTAAATTATGTTGTGTGTTTAAATTATGAAAGTGTGTTTAAATTATAAAAGTGGTTGTGTGATTTTAATGAATTGTATGGTTTATCACTGATTTTTTTTTAAAAAACTAATCATAGAAAAATAAACGACAATCAAAAAAAAAAAAAAAAAAAAAAGATAAATTATAAATAAATATAAAAAACAATTACAAATAAAGATAAACAATAATTAAAAATAAAGCTAAACAACAATTAGAAATAAAGATAAATGACAATTATAAATAAAGATAAACAACAATTACAAATAAACGTAAATTAATAACCACTATGTAGAGGGCTTGGATAATAGTCTTCAGAGTTGTCTTCTGGATTGTAGGGGGAACTTGTATTCATCTATGCCTCAATAATTTCGTCTTGCTTATTCCCCTAATACTTCTTCTTTCTTGGAGTAAATTTGGATAGGTCCATGGACATTATCCTCTGTTCACTAGCCTCCTTATCTTGTTGGATTTGATATGAATGTTGCTCTTGTAGAAGCTCTAACTTTCGCCGTCTATCCTCTTTTGCCTCATTTCCTTGTTGAACCAATTCAGACAAGAACTTACCACTTTTGTTGAGATAACTTTCAACACCTTTCCTTTTCTTTTTTCATCCTTCTGTTTATCTCTTCCCAATGGCCTTGGAGTGGGCATGACCACATCATCTTCATCTTCCTCCAAATTGACTGTATTGCCACTATGAGAAGAATCTTTGAATGATTGTGTGAGAGATTCACATAGGTCGTTCCATTTTTGGCAATCTTTTAAGATTTGCCAAGCATGATACAACTTGAAAGGCCTATTTGGAGGTTTATTATCATTCAAAAAAATTGTTTTTGCATTTATATCCTACCCATGAAATAAAATAAAAATCAAGTTAATAATTGAAAACAATTAAAATTATAAATTTAAGCACTGAAAAAAAATGGGTACTCACCACATCTTCAAGATTGGAGCCACTCATATGTCTTACATTGGCCTTTGTTATACATGTCTTCCAAAGAGAACATTGTTGGTTGATGATCTTGAACCGAGAAGCAATAGCTTCCGGTGATTGTATCCCGGCTCTGCTCATGCCCGGATCATTTTCTAAAAAATTTGGGTACACATGCAACCAAAATGAATCATTTGATTGATTCATGCCAATAGCCCCATCTTCAGAGACAGAAACCCACCCTCTACACAATGCCTCGTCTTCTTGTGGTTTCCAATTCACACCTCTTTGGGGTTTTGGGGCTATTCTCAACAAGAATGAATGTAGAATGAAAAATTATAACAAAGGGAGAAAGGAAAAAAATGAATTTTGGTGGATTATTTACCAAATGAATGGCTATTTATAGAGTTTGGAATAAGTTTTGGGGTTGGATCTGACTTAGATTAATTATAAATATTAATTTGACTGTTGGATTTAAATTTGAGCCTTTGGATGTGAAATTTTACCGTTGAGATTGCCTAAAATGAATCAGAATCGTTGATTTTATAGCTGTTTAAATATATATTTTTTTTAAACAGCATAACAAAACATTTGAAAAAGTAGCCGTTGCTTCTAAAAAATGGAAAAGGAATCTTCATTCCCACTTGTCAAAGTGGGCCAGCGCATAGCCAAGCACATGGGTTGGTCCTTGCATCCAATAAAAAATTATATATTAAAGCAGATTTGGGCCCCACGAGTTTATCAGTCTAGGCAGAATTCTGGCTGGAATTCCAGTCTAGTTTTGAGTCATCTCAAATTTTCACTCCCAAAATACATGGGTTGGAGAAGTTTTTTGGAGGCTAAACTTAAAATTTGAGTTTCTACCCCTTAGGTTGGAGATGGTCTAAGGGTCTTATATAAGACCCTCACTATAAAATGACTCTGTACACTTGAAACTCAGCAATTGAATCCAATACATCCAACAAATCTCAATGGACTAGCTACTTTTTTGGGTGAGTCTCCACACCTAAAAAATAAAAAGAAAAAGAGGTGCACTTCAGCTATAGTAGGGGCATAAGGCCCAAGCAACAATACAAAGGACAGTTAAGCCCATTGGCCTATACAACTTAGCTATGAGCATTTTCACTTATTTGCTATGATAAAGAATAAGGGCAAGTAATGGTGGTTACTGTTTATGAATAGTATATACCATAGCAATGTATTTTTTGCTTTTCCACCCAAGGATAATTACTATTCACATGAAATTTTTTATAAATATTTATACCTATGAGATTAATAAATAAAAATTTACTAGGTATTTAAAAAAAATGAATTTTTTGGTATTCTTTTCCAAAATTTTTTCAATTTTTTTCTTGGCTGGCTTTAGCACTAACATCAACGCCCTCAGGCAACATTTTGGGCTATTCTTGCCTTAAGATCAGCCTAGTCTTAGTGGATCCCACCATCTACCTGAGCTGGATTTGAATGGTTAGTGTTTTTGCAGCCCAATGAGCCTTTGGCCCTGATAATCCAAACTGGTGGAACTTCTCTAAGATCCAAAGAGAAACTCAAAACTCTCTATGAACATATTCTTCTTTCTATATATGCAATTTGGGAATAACTTATCATTGTGCCAACAAAAAAAAAAAAAAAAAAAAAAAAAAAAAAAAAAAAAAAAAAAAAAAAGTTTTTTTGTTGTAATAAGGAGGGTCCATGGGGGGGGGGGTCCCGTTTTGTAATTAATTTTTAATTAAATTCCTTAATGATATAAAATGAGTAAATTTGGGTGTAACCTAAACGTTACGGAGTTTAAATGATAAGGAAAGACACGCCTAAGGAAAGTTTCTTTCACACACAACCAAGATGTCATGGGGGTTCAAACCTAAGACCTCTAGTTTGCAAGGTAATGCCTTTTTACCACTAGACTAGACTCATTGACTCCAAAATTCTTTCTTGTTTTCTTTATTCTCTCTCTCTCTCTCTCTCTCTCTCTCTCTCTCTCTCTCTCTCTCTCTCTCTCTCTCTCTTTATAACACAAACAATTGAATTTAGGAAAAAAAAGAAAGAAAATAAGTGTTCATTTGCATAAAAAATTATGTACTAATAAGCATAAAGTAAAATAAATAAATAAATCTAGGATATATTGTGCTTAGTGCTTTCAAGTTATGATTTTTATAAAAGGGCAATAGAATTTTATTAGATGAATAAAAATAAAGAGTACAAAGGACATAGATTGTAAAGGGAGTTATACCAATAACAATATGGCAATTGTGGGTAAAACTTCTCTAGTGACCCAAGCTAGTTGAAAAGTTGAAACGATCTGGAGATAACCACACTCTAAAATAACTTTTCTAAAACTCATTTCAACCACCATTATATCCCCAAATCTAGTCCAATGACATAAAACACAAAAACTAACAGCTAACCGACCCGACTCTCTTAAAGAGACTATGAACACCTAGCAAACTCAACTAAGTTTCTAGAATTTATTGACAAACTAAACCAACATAATAATAATAAAAAACTGCAACATCAACAAAAAGAAAACCAATCGCCGCTAATCTTCCTTTGGGGCATTAAATAGAGAGTGCGACCTTGTTACTCTAAGGCCTCAACGCACTAATGAGAAGTGGATTTATTATGACCAAGCTACAACACCTCAATGAACAGCCTGGCAAGATGAGGCACAACAAAAGCAAGCCCATATATGAGACATTAGATCTGCCAAAAGAAGAGTATATTGACATAAGTCTACCAACATCCGAAGCACACCGAAGATCCAACGAGATCCATCTGAAGTGTTCTCTCTCTCTCTCTCTCTCTCTCTGGGGTTAGGGTTTTCTGTTTATCCAACCAAGTTAGGATTTAATAATGTTTTAGTTGTTGATTGCTTTGTGAGATGGTTTACTTTGTGCTGGTAAGAAAAGCATTCTTTAGCCTTTGGTGAATGAAGATTTCAAACTTTTGATTGATTGCTTATTGGGGGCTTATTGGATTCATGGGCGAGCACTGATGATCATTCGAGACATCAACTTCATTTACCAACGTTTCGATGTTGGGCAGTTTCGACACAATTTTAGATAGGCAGACTTTGTTGTTGATGCATTAGCAAATTAGGACCATTTAATCTTTAATTGTCATATTTGGGAAGACACCCTATGTATGGTGCCTGTTTTTAATTTTAATAGGATTCAAAATTTAAACAAAAATACTAATCATACTACATTATGTACTACCTGTCTAATAAAAGCGACTCTTATCGTATTAAAAAAAAAAAGACTTTTATTATATTGGTGGGCTCTCGAGTTAGTAGAGGTGAAACGCAGCGTAATATGCCCAGCAGGATCCTTTCCGTGGTCTGCTAAAATACCAATGTGGACAGGAGAGGCCCTCCACCTAACTTTTCTATCTTCTCATAAGAAAATTCGCGAACCTTGCCGTGCCTGCCAGGGAAAGGAATCAATCTTGACACGTGGCGCAGTCCCATTGGGTTGGGGGTTTAATCTCACCGTCATTAAGTCGGCAATTGGTCCTATAAATGAAGGCGCTTCTCGATGCCAAGCCCTACATCGTTGAAGAAAACAAAAGCAAAGCGAAATCCCTGAAGCTCATCGAAGTTCTCTCTAACTCTCTCTCTCTCTCTCTCTCTCTCTCTCAAGGTTCGTATTTCCTATGTTGCTGATCTGTTTCTTCAATATTTTCTTCAGTTTGATTTTGTAATCGTATCGTTGTTAATAATCAAGATGCCAATTTGTTGTCTATAGTTTCGTCAATACTTTCTTTTGTTCGATTGTTTAATCCTGTCGTTGTTAATAATCAAGATGCCATTTTTTTTAATCAATTTGTATGAAATCCTAAATCTTTGCCTGATTTAATCAATTACTTTCGAGGAACAAGTTGTGTTTAATTGTATGAATTCCAAGGAACAATAGAAATCTATCAGATACAAGTTGCAATTTTGATTTTAGGGTTTGCTTTGTGTTATAATATGCACCTCTCCGCGAAAAATTTTGTATCAATTTTTTTGTTTGGTTATTTGATTGTACAGGAAATTGTTAATTGGTTGCTCTTAACAATCAGGATAAGATATGACAGAGAACTGTTTCGAATCATTCCATATATGTGTGAAATAAGTTTTGTTGATAAAATTGTGTATTGTTGTCTGATTTTAACAAATCACATTCCAAGATGCAATTTTGTTTATGTCAAGAAACAAATCTGATTCATGATTGTTTTCTATATATACAGATGCAGATCTTTGTGAAAACCCTCACCGGAAAGACCATCACCCTCGAGGTTGAAAGCTCTGACACGATCGACAATGTCAAAGCCAAGATCCAAGACAAGGAGGGTATTCCCCCAGACCAGCAGAGGCTGATCTTTGCTGGCAAGCAGCTTGAGGATGGCCGCACCCTCGCCGACTACAACATCCAGAAGGAGTCCACCCTCCATCTGGTGCTCCGACTCCGCGGTGGAATGCAAATCTTTGTCAAGACTCTCACCGGAAAGACCATCACTTTGGAGGTTGAGAGCTCCGACACGATTGATAATGTCAAGGCTAAGATCCAAGACAAAGAGGGCATCCCACCAGACCAGCAGAGGCTCATCTTTGCTGGGAAGCAGCTTGAGGATGGCCGCACCCTGGCTGATTACAATATCCAAAAGGAATCAACCCTTCACTTAGTGCTTCGTCTTCGTGGGGGTATGCAAATCTTTGTCAAGACACTTACTGGGAAGACGATAACCTTGGAGGTTGAAAGCTCGGATACCATAGATAATGTCAAAGCAAAAATTCAGGATAAGGAAGGCATTCCCCCCGATCAGCAGAGGCTAATCTTCGCTGGTAAGCAGCTTGAGGATGGCCGCACCCTTGCCGATTATAACATCCAAAAGGAATCAACTCTGCACCTGGTGCTTCGGTTGCGTGGTGGTATGCAAATCTTTGTGAAGACTTTGACTGGGAAGACAATTACTTTGGAAGTGGAAAGCTCAGATACTATTGACAATGTGAAGGCCAAAATCCAGGACAAGGAGGGTATCCCTCCAGACCAGCAGAGGTTGATTTTTGCAGGCAAGCAGCTGGAGGATGGAAGGACCCTTGCCGACTACAACATTCAAAAGGAGTCGACCCTGCACTTGGTGCTCCGTCTGCGTGGTGGGATGCAGATCTTTGTGAAGACCCTCACTGGGAAGACGATAACTCTGGAGGTGGAGAGTTCTGATACCATTGATAATGTGAAAGCTAAGATTCAGGACAAGGAGGGCATTCCTCCGGACCAGCAAAGGCTCATCTTTGCCGGTAAGCAGCTGGAGGACGGGAGGACTCTTGCAGATTACAACATTCAGAAGGAGTCTACCCTTCACCTTGTCCTTCGTCTCCGTGGCGGTATCTGAATTCTGAATGATGCTTGTGGTTCCATCTTTGTCTGAGCAGTGAACAGTGACTTTTAAAAAAAAATTTATGTAATTTTATATTTCGTACTCTTTATTTGGCCAATGGATGGGTCACCAGAAACTATTTAGTTAATAAATAAAAATGCTTTATATGCATATGCTCAGTTTCTTTTTGCATTTGGATTTTTTCTGTTTTACATGCATCTGTATTGCTCCGCCTCAGACCGGCAGAGGGGCTCATCTTTGCTGGTAAGCAGCTGGAGGACGGGGAGGACTGTTGCCGATTACGACATTCAGAAGGAATCCACCCTTCACCTAATCCCTCCGCCTCCATGGTGGTTTTTAGATTTTCGTTGATGCTTGTGGTGCCATCCTTGTTTGAACGGCAGCATTAGCTATAATAACAAGTTATGTGGTTCTGTATTTTCATGGTCTTGAAATGGCTAATGGATGGATGGCTTATCTTATTACTCTTTATTTAGTAACACATGAAATTCCTTTTCACGCACTTCTGTTTGCATTTTGTATGTTTTAGTGTATATATATATATATATATATATATATATATATATAGTCCTTTTCTATTGAGGGACGCTCTTTAGGGTATTTTACAATTTTTTTCTCAATGATCCAAACTATCTATTTTTTAGGTCTTCATTCATAGATCATCATTACAAAAAATTAGACAAATCGAAAATCGTTTCGACATCCAATTGTGTCTTATAAAATCAATGAATACAGTGCTTCAAGAAAGTGCTAAATTTCAATAACTCAAATGAGTGGTCAAATAATATTGGATTTAAGTAATTTTTTGTAGAGATGATCTTTGAATGAGTATCTACAAAATAGACGGTTTGGATTAGTGAAATACAATCCGTAGTGGGGCCTACGAGGAGTGTCCTTCAAATAAGCTTATTTAAGAAATCCCTCAATGGAAGCTCTTTGTATATTATATATATGAATTGTTCTTTCATGGTGTGCTTGGATTGTTTGGATTGAAGGTGTGGTCTGTTTGCATTACTTGTCTGTTAAGTTCGCACTGATTGATTTCCTGAATCTGGTGCTGCTCACAATTTGGAAGTGGCTCTGATCTTCCTTGTCTTAGTAAGTGGCTCTGTTCTTCCTTCTCTGGGCCATGCTTGGTCTTGGATGATTATTGTGTGTAATTGTTTGTCTTGGTTTTGTCCTCCAGTCAACCGAACAGAATACAATTACCATTTGAAGATTGAACAACAAAAGAATGTGTTTCTAGACAAACACAAGAAACTCCGACAAGTCCCAGGAAATTAATACCGCAACTATAAGCATGAGTAACAAGCTAAACTAGAAATTTTCAGCTCTAAACATGTAACTATTGAATACATAGGTGTTTTAGATACTCGTATTTTTTACTTCCGCCCTAATTTTTTTTAATAATAAATGTGAGGGGAGGCCCGGGACCACCATGGTCCTATATGAAGCCTCCACCTCGGGGGATAGGTCCCTTATCAGTGTTTTTGTCTTGGAAAAGTCAGTCTAAATCAAACATAATCGGTTATGTTAAGTTTACTTATTCATTTATATCCAAAATTATTAATAAGCTTAATTAATATTCAAATCACATTAGTAACTCCAAGTAATTTCTAGATATTTTAGCCAAATTAATACCTAAGTGCCTTAGTTCCAATTTATACCCAATTAAATAACAACTATCACAACTTCTTTTTCTTTTCGGTGAACTATCGTTGCACTTCCGTCTTTCTCTCTTTTTCACCATTTTCTTTCCATTTCCTTTCGTCTTTATCTCTTCACCTCTTTCTCTATTCTACCTATTTTGCTCTTCTTTTATCTTTTCTATCTCCTTTTCTCTTCTTCCTAATTTTCTCTTATTCACCTCTTCATGTTTTTATCATTCCAAACTTGAAATTGGCCGAACTGAATCGGAATTGCATAGGTCTGGTTTAGTTCAGTTATTCTAAACACTTTCTATGTAAGTTGAATCAAACTAGACCTTCTGTAAGTTTTGGTTTAGGTTTAAATTCGTGAGAAAAATCGAACCGAACCGAATCATGCACGTCCACCCCTAATTTCTACAGTGTATATTTACAAAACCATCCAATATTATTCAAGATGTGGTTCGAGGATTGTGATGTCACTGCTAGATTCAAATCAATAAAACATAATTTTCTATTAAAAAAAAATTGACATCACTGAGAGGTATTGACGTGGCCATCAATAAGTCAATACTCCCCTTCTTGATCATCCACCACATAATTTTGATCTCCATTGATTTCGGACTCGTGCAAAACGTCATTGATGAAATTGTCCAAGTCCCTTAGAAAACTGCTAGACGAGATGTCATCAACGACTCTTTGATCTTGAATATTGACCCTTTGATCACCATCATGTAGATGATGATGCGACGGGATCATGGCAGCTGCCTTTGTGCAATTTAATGTTATACTTTGAATCACCTGAACCTGATCATCTTTAGCAGTACAATTACCACCTTCATCAGCGCCATCATTTTTAGCATTAATCTTGATTCGATGTGGTCTTGCCTCTGGAACTCTCTTGCTCAAATTAATATTCCAGAAGTTCTTGATTTCATTGTCTGTTCGACCTGGTAATCTTCTAGCGATGAGGGACCACCTAATCATCACCTTATTAATTAGTATTCAACTTGAAAATATATTTAATATGCATCTTTGGGTTCTTAGATATATTAATAGCTTGAAATAACAAAAATATAAGTTCGATATCTCTTTCCGTACGTACTTTAGAGTAGTTTAGAATATCGCTTTGTTAAAGAAAAAAAAAAAAAAAAAAGACATGTCAATATGTCAATATGTCAACATGTCATACCTGTTTCCAAGAAGCTTGTGCATTCTGATAATAAGGTCTTCTTCTTCGGGAGAAATGTTGCCTCTCTTAACATCAGGCCTAAGATAATTCAACCATCGCAGTCTGCAACTTTTCCCACTCCGCTTCAACCCTACAAGTATATATAGTTAATTACATGTGTGTATATTATCTCGAAGAGATGTTATGAAACTAAATTCTTTTATATAAATAAAATAAAACCAAAATGGTCGATCATCAAAACGTCTGAATATGCATATTACCAACCAGTTTTCTTAGCAGCGTGGCTCCATTTTCCTTCTCCATGTGTTTTGATGTAGTCTGCAAGGACTTTATCTTCCTTAGGACACCATGCTCCTCTTTTGACCGCATCTTTATCACCGGATAGTTTTCTCCCCATAGATATATCTCCTCTCTCTCTCTCTCTCTCTCTCTCTCTCTCTCTCTCTCTCTCAGGCGTACACTTTTCTGTGTGGAGAATATCTATGCATATTGGGTATATATGGTGTGCGTGCCTGAGGAACAAAGGTCCCACTTTTGAATCGAAGGCCCAAGAAACTAATATTCTTTTGGAGTTGAGATTAATTCTTAAGATTTAACCGCACTGTCCCTTTGTTGGAGAAATTATGAAATGATACTGTATTATGCTCACTTGGTATAGCTTGTACACATGTTATATGAATGAACAACATGGTTTATATTTCCCCTCTTTTAGGGAATAATATCAATAAAATATCACTTATATTATAACACGTAGAAAAATTATATCACGTGATCGTACTACACTTCCCATTGTTAGAAAAATTAATTAACCATGCACTCAACCTGACATAAGTACCCATTAATATTTAGATTTAACTTGGTATTGCTAGGCATTTGCATGCCGATGAGAGAAAGAAAAACCCTAGACAACGGTGCCTTAAATGAATGAGCAGAAATATCGATGTGTGCAACCGGACGTACTTTTTTCCTTCCATGTATGGAATGCTTACCAGTTCTGTAAAAACTTCATTAAAAACATTCTTAGATTTTGAATGGACGAGTTAAAAACTAAAAACTAAAATTGAACTGTACTCGGGAATGGAGTAGCTAGCTGTACATATTAATCACGTGACAAGAACAATATACGTAAGTGGACAAGAAAAACTCATTCCAATAATAATAAAGTGCTAACAAAAATAAAGCAAATGTACATATTAATAACTTGACAAGAACAATATAAGTAAGTGGACAAGAAAAACTCATTCCAATAATCTTCACAACACAACAAAAATAAAACAAAGAAAAAGGCAAATTTGTATAATAGGAACAAAAAGCAAGATAGCTCAGTATTGTAATCCTTGTAGAAAGCAAAAATGCCATATCAGTCTCATGACAGTTGCAGTGGCAGCATCTTTAGTACATTACCATGCATCAGTCTCACGAGCTGTACTGATTTCAGAGCAATATGGATGGTAATTTATTTCTCGACTATGTCTTTTTCTTCGACAATTAATTATTATTCCTGATGAGGTTAGAATACTCCCAACAAGTAGACACTGAAGTGTCACTATACCAAATAGCCATTCACATCAGCCAATGCTGTTTTAAATTTCAATGGGAGTAAGTAGACAATGTGTTACGTCCCCTTCTCTTTAAACGTCAATCCATGTAGTTCTCAAAAGAAAGGTGAATCCATGTGCAAAGAGCAAGCGATTTGGACCACCCCACATGTTTATGGAAAAACAGAACCACTTGTTTATAAGTTATTTCGTCATCTAAAATGTGCAAAAAAATAAAACGTATTAAAATTGAAATGCAAATATGAATACTCAAATGACTAAACAATTTCCGACTTAACTGATTATCTGCATGGATAATTTTTTCAAAGAGATGCTAATTAAAAACTGGGTGTGTTCGTTTTTCTTTTTAAGAACCTATTTTCATTTTCTTGATGGAATTTGAGGTTCCACCCTAAAACCAATTGGCAATAGAGGGAGTAACCCAACTGCTTATAAGCCCTTGCTAGGTTTCTTAACTTTCCAATGTGAGACTCTTTACCTTCACATTTTCATACGCTCCCACACGTGTGACGAATTTTCAAGCCTAATATGTGGACAATACATATTGAGTAACGTGGAGCACGTGTGACTATTGAGCTCTGATACCAGATGTTGATAATTTAGGAAACACAAACGACAAGAGATAAAGAGCTTTTGTTGAACTCAAGTAAATTCTCATTGACGGAAACACAGCTTAAATAACACGTACAAAAAACTGACTCAAATAAAGAAGGAACAACTAAACATCCCACTACTACCAATTAGTACATACGTCTCCCACTACTACCAATACTATCAGACTTATCCCACAACTAGAACACCCGTATTGTATAGGTAGATTTCTAACATTTCTGTTTCTTGTTTGTCTGCTTTTGCTCCCCTGTGTTCGGGGGTGCTGGTCTGCGTTGGGCTGTTTTATGAAATTCAGTTTCGACCCCCAAAAAAAAAAAAAAAAAAAAAAAAAAAAAACGCTTTTTCCTACTCTCTCTCTCCCAAGCTGAACCTGTTAAAGAGAGGAAAACGAAGGATATGGTAAAGATGTGGTGTAGTTTTCAGATGAGAGACATGAGAGGATTCTAGAGAAGAGAGGGAGAAGCGTATAAATATTATTTTACTGGTTTTGTTAACTTTTTTTACCACATAGTTATTTAACTCTTTATTTGGAATTTTGATGTTAATTTATGTATTGTATACCATTGATAATGTGAAAGCAAAGATTCAGGATAAGGAGGGCATTCCTCCAGACCAGCAGAGGCTCATATTTGCTGCTGGGAAGCAGCTGGAGGATGGGAGGACTCTTCCAGATTTCAACATTCAGAAGGAGTCCACCCTTTCACCTTGTACTCCGTCTGTACGGTGGTGTCGGAATTTGAGTGATGCTTTTGCAGTCATCCTGGTCTGAGTAGTTAGCTGTGGCTTTAAAGTTCATTTTTATGGTTCTTTATTTTCTTACTCCAAGGGATGACTTAAATCTTTACTCTTTAGTTAATGAATAAGTTTTGATGCATATGCTTAGTTTTGCTGTTTGCATTTTCCATTTTTATTCTTATATCTACAGTGTTCTTTCATCATGTATGTGGGTTGTTTGTTGGGATTCAAGATGGATTCAAGATTTCTATTTGCAGTTCTTGGATTTTCTAACCTAAGCGCACAACTAGGTATTCAACTCATCACAAAATATATATTACTTGACAGATAACATTCTCTCCTTTTTTATGCTAGAAACTTCATCTTTCATTCCAACCCAACAGGGCAAAACTCAAACCAGTCAAAAGGACAAACAGAAAACTTAATTAAGTAGATTAATGCTTCTAAGTAGAGCATGGTTGAGGTCCTATGGAGCAACTAGCTGGTAACGTCATTGCCTGATCGAGCTCACCGCGTTTATATATATATATATATATATATTTGTACTTGAGGATCAGTTTCTTCAACACCTTACAACGACTCTGGTGGGGAATTTCCTGCAACTGATGGCAGCATGCTGCATGAACTTCTATGTGTTGCTCTTCAGTAGAGCATGGAATTGTGACCAATATTCGCTCGCACTCGTTGGTTTCCTAAATTCGGTGATACTCAGTGCAGTTCGACTGGAAAAAAAATACTGCAGCTCATGAGTGGAAATAATACTCATAAAGATTAGGGTTGTGAAGAAGATAGAGGACTGCCAGTGGGGTTAGCTTTGCCATTGGTTTTTGGATCTTGTTAACTTAGAAGATTATGCAAATGGACGAAAACTGGTAAGCTCACGAGTGTCTGGTTATGGGGTATTTATTGACCATGGAAATGGAGGACAAGATGGATACACGTGTTATGATAACACCAAGTGACGTTCACACTAACATGTGATATTACCAATTCACATATAATAGTATAAATTAATTAATGTTATAATACTTACATTAGTAATATTACGTCGCAGTGCGACCATCCCACCAAGATTTTTTTTCATTTTTGTCTTGTTAATTAGTTAATGAATATATATATATTTTTTATGTGCTTTGTTTTGCCGTTGGATCCTTATTCGGAATATATCTCCATCGTTCTTTTTAATCATGTGTTTGGATTGTTTGTTAGGAGTTGAAGATCTCTTTGCCTTTCTTGGAAGTTTAACCTACATTAATTGTGTGATCTGCACCAAGTTGGTGCTATAGATTTTGCACCTTGGTTGAGGGAGAAACAAATGTGTGCACATTGTTGTTGGTTTGCTTTCATTTTCTTAAATATCATCGCCTTCCTCATCGAAGATCATCTTATCATCGCTCTGGTCCTGCAAGCCCAACAGAGCAAACCTTTTGAGCCCATCAACAAATTCAACCCATTAAAGAGCACTATTTAAAATGGGAAAGTTTTTTATATTTGTTTTTAAAATGGAAAACTTTAAATGATAAATAAGAACATAATTTTAAAATACAGTATAATTGAAACTATCATCATTAATAAGGACGGAAACTGCGAGGAGGCAAAATCAAAGCGGTAAACAAAACCGGTAATTATGGTTCGAATCCTCTGGTTGAGTCAATTCGGACAAATTGATGCCCACTAGACATGGATAATGAAAAATGATATTTCTAAGTTATTTTCTAGCATTACCAAACATGGGAAACAAATCTTCTATTTCCCTTCCCATGGGAAACTATATGGGGATTATAAGTTGGCATTTGAACCGAAGAACCAAAAAACCTAACCAAATCGATCAGAGAAAAATGAGAAAAAAAACAAATTGACCAAAAAGTAAAAAACTGTTGAAAAAACCAAATCGAACTGGTTCTGATTGATTTCAATTCCAGTTTGACACTCTTAAAAATCATATCAGGCCTAACCAAACCGACAGGAAAAAAAAAGTGTGGCCCAATTAAGAAGCCTATGAGTTTTCTCACTTCCTAAGCAGTTGTTCTTGTGTCTCCCACTTCCCAATCTTGCTTTTTTACCATTTAGAGTTGTTCCTACCAGTGGCAGACCTGTGTAGGCGCAAAGAGGTGCACCTGCACCTCTGGTCGCCGGAAAACTCCATAGAAGCTGCTTAAGTTGCACCTTTGCTCATGTACGGAAGTTGTTCGATGAGATGCTCAAGTGAAGCGATGCTGTGATTTGTCCTCCACAAGGCTGCAAGGAGCTTCTGGTGAACCACTTCTTCGAAATAAGAGATGATTCATCGAGTTGATTTGTCATATCCCAGACTTTGACTTCAATCTACCAAAAAGTTATCTTATCTTTTTTTTTCCTTCCCTATGTTTAGTTTGAACGAAGAGATTTTTTCTAGAAAAAAATAATAATTATATTTTAAAAAATAAAAATAAAAAAAAGGTATTACCTTGTTTATTATGGGATTTGAACTCGAAAAATCCTCCAACAAAATGATGACCTTGAGGATTGCATTGATTTTGTTCCAATTGTTGTCATGGCTTCCTTTAAATAAATAAAAAATAGAAAAAACAGTAAAAGGGAAAAGAGAAGTCATCCCAGCCACAACAGCAGTAGATTTTCTTGTTAACTTTTTGTATCAAATTTGAACAGAAAACTTAACATATCACAAACACATACTTGCCTCAACATTTAATTAAATTCCCCAATATATCTACAGATTCATTAAACCCTATATAGTATGTACCCCTCTTCTTCCTGTCACTCATCCCAGCACAGAAGTATGACAGTGCACCTCCACATGATATAAAGTCATGTCCGCTGCTCCCTCATCAGCCTCGAGCACATCTGTCCTTTCATGTTCCCGGACTATAGTCCAGTCCAGGTGGAGAGGTACTTGTATTTTGGTTGATAACTTGCTCAATGTGTTTTCTTTCTTTGTAAAGAAAAAGTCTATAAAATAAGACCTTTGTCTTCTTTGTTTGTAGAGCTTTCACGATCATATTTTTAGTCCATAAACTTTGGAAAGCTGAGTTTTTATTTGAGATAAATCATCAAGTGTTCCATGTTTATTTGGTGATTTGTCAAACACTTTTATCTTTCATGTTGCATTCACTTGCATGTTTGGTGCCTCATACGATTGAGGGCACCAAGACCGTTGTAACGGTTTTTCTCCTTTGAGCTTGAATCGATCGTGACTAGTATCGAATTCAACATAAAGAGAGTTGGAAGAACTCCGGCGAGCTTGAAGCATTTATGACCACTATTGCGTTCAACATAAGGAGTGTCAAAAGATCATCCCGTGACAGAAGTTGAGCTACGAAGAAGTCAATAAAAATTATCTAGAATGTGTATAGGATAAGTGTGTGAGTACTTCGTGTAATTATCGTTCTATAGTTGATTTGTTTTGAACTGAGGAATCCTGTAGATTTTCCCCAGAGGTAGGGTTTTACCACATTAAATAATTCGTTGCATGTTACTTTATTTTATGCTCTGCACGTTTTCAGGATTGATAAGCCATATCAATTATTCTACTGAAGTTTATTTTTATTTATTGATTATAATTTTAAATTGGCTTATTCATCCCTTCTAGGCATTCTTAGTCATTCTATAGGTAATTTCAGAGTTTGATTAGTAAAAGTCCTCATTATTATAAAGCCTCATAGATTAAATTTAACCCAACAATCTATACATTTCCAAGACACCAACAAGTTAACCCCAACGTTTCCCCGCTCTAGTAGCCATACTGTAATTCAATTGATTCAATTTATGGTTTTTTACCTTAATTAAAAGCTTAATACTCCAAGAGCTCAGTTTTTTTTTATTAATGTTGTAGTCAATAATAAGCTTGGAGTCCCCTTCAACTAGGACTTTACGCCATCTACCATGAACAGCATAAGCAAGACCATGTGGTTGCTAATCCAAGCAATTGAATACTGACACACAGGGGAGGCCCTGAGCATAGGCGGACAAGGGGGGAGCCTAGGGCCTCCAAATTGGAAAGGCTACCAATTTTCATAAATCTCTATATATACATATGTATGTTACTTTAAAATTATACCATATTAATATTATATTAAGCCCAAATACCAGTAAAAAAAGCCCAATTATTTACTCTAAAACTAAAAAATGGAAACTTAATAAGAGACCAATTATTTTTCTAAAGTTAAATCAGTTTAATAAGTTAACCTTAGTAGCGTATATCTTAACAAACAACAAAAAAAACCTAGCAGCATAGACGAAAATCTGCTCTACTCAACACAAGAAAAAAAAACACTAGCAGTTTATTATTGAATATCTACCGCAAGAGGAAGCGATCTTGAGGAAGAACAAGAAGGTAAAAACCCACAACACTATTTCTTATATTTTCTATTGAAAAAGATATGGTAGAAAAACTTGATTATGCAAAGTTAATTGATACTTTGGCTTCGAAAAATGTAAGACGAGGTGATGTTTTGATACATTTTATAAAGTTGTTATGTGAATTACATTTTTTTTAGGTTACAATTTTGACTTTGTTTGTTTAAACTTATCAGAAAAAAAATCGCATAAATATACATAGAGAGTAGAATGCCACATTTTGGTAGTTCATCTAGGACCTCGAAAACCTTAGGACCGCCACTGCTGACACATACATTAACAATTAAACAAAAATATATTTTAAAATATGGTTTCGTTATGGATTTCTAATGATTTATGGAGAATAGAACCTGCTCATTTAACAATTATTTTGACTACATTTCAAAATTTCCAAACTTTTTCTCACTCAAACTTCAAACAAATTTTGCTCTAAAATCTCTCCTCTTCTCTCGGCCTCCCCTGATCTTATTTATTTATTTTGCCACATCCTCCCCCTTCTATTTCATTCCCATTCCTTTGCTCTCTCGAGGATTTTATCTTTATTTTTTCAATAAACTGAAACGTTTTTATTACACATGGCATTTTGTCAGATTTTTACTTTTATTCTCCCAAAAGGGTCGATTCGACATTTTGCTTGCAAAAGTCGAAGGCTTAGCTCCGACTTCTGAAAACTCGATCGACAACCAAAAATTGGGTTGATTATCCATTTTGTGTGATTTACACAGAAACCTCTGAAGTTGTCACTCTCAGCTCAGATCGCCATGCCTCCTGTTGGCCCTCGATCCGGTGACGCAATCTTCGCTAACGTTGAACGCGTGGTAAGCGAAACCCCAACTCCCCCCCTGTCTTTGGATTTCGAATTTTCTCGGCATCCAAACCTGATTTGAATCTCTGAATTATGTTTTTTTTTAAACCCTCTTAACTTTGAAATTGAATTGGTTGTAGAATGCGGAGCTGTTTACGTTGACGTATGGTGCAATCGTGCGCCAGCTGCTCACGGACCTTGAGGAGGTTGAAGAGGTTAACAAGCAGCTCGACCAAATGTAATTTTATTTTTATTTTTATCGTTCTCTAAATTCAAATTTGATGTTAGATTTATTTTATTTTCCTAAAAATTATGCAATTTTTTGAAGTTCAGTTCTACTTTGTACTGTATATATGTGTGTTTGAGTTTGGGCATCGGAAATTTCCTTCCATTCTTGGATGTAAAGTTCTGTTCTTGGCTGTTAATTTGTGCAATTCCTTGATTCAAAGCGATGTTTGACGGCCAATGAACTATTCATATACATTTATTTTTGGTTTTGCGGATCAGGTGACAATTTAATTGCATTTCAGGGGCTATAATATTGGAATTCGATTAATCGATGAGTTTCTCGCAAAATCTAATGTATCTAGATGTGTTGACTTCAAAGAAACTGCTGAAGTGATTGCAAAGGTTTGTCATTTACGTCTGATTCCTTTCAAAACTAAATATCCTGCTGCTCTTAATTGTTGTAAAACCTGGTAAACTGTTTCCATTGTGCCCATTATTGGGTTGTGTTGCAAATTTCACTCGAGTCTATCACCTGTTTCCTGGTGTTATTGGAGCTTACATTGATTCCCATTGTCTTCTCAACCTATTGATGATCATCATCTTTTACTAAAATGTTAGTGAAAATGTAATCCACTTGTTCTATATTTCCCCTTCTTGAGGTGACAGAGGAGGGTTGTTAATGAAAATAACGAATTGGAATCAAGGTTAATAATAGATTAGTAGATTTGGTATATAAGATTGATAAATAGTCATGTCTCTTTGTTTAGAGTTTAGCTAGCTCTTGTTTCCATGTCAAAATGCAGGATGGTAAATCCTTGTCCACCAATCTTGCAACAAAGCATATTAGTAAGGCCAGACAATATCCAATTTGAATCACTAAGAAATGGAATTGGGTTAAGAATTAAGATATCGGTTTGTTTGGGGTTGAGACTGTAGTGTGATTGACAAATGGAATTGGGCTGGGTTGCTTTGTTTCTCTATGGACTGCATTGCCTTGTTGTAGTTTCACTATATTTTTTTTGGATCCGGTTGGTTGGCAAGTACATATATTGGTTTCCATAAGACTGTTACAGAGCTGAGTTTTTGCTGCATGCTTTGCATTATTCGCTATATCTAAAATTTTAACTTCATTTTTTGTTGTATTTATTTATTGCCACAAACTTCTCGACGAAGTTCTGAAGTAGTTTTGTGTCATAATTGTTCTATTGATACTTCTCTACAGATTGGTTTTAAAATGTTCTTGGGGGTCACTGCATCTGTTACGAATTGGGATGCTGATGGAACATGTTGCAGCATTGTTCTGGAGGACAATCCTCTGGTAGACTTTGTTGAGCTTCCAGATACTTGTCAGGGTCTGTACTATTGCAACATCTTGAGTGGAGTTGTAAGAGGTGCCTTAGAAATGGTGAGTTGTAACCTCGTCTATCACACCGCTTTTGACATCTGCCCACTTTATATGACTTCTGGGTACTCTTTTTCCAGTTTGATTTAATTGCTATATATATATAATATAAGATAACTTCTTATACTCGTACATACTCAGTTGTATTGGTTTTTATTGCTACTTGCACAGATTATCGCTATTGTCTGCTGAAGGTTTCAATCTTATCATCTTCCATTCAAAACATTAGTTATATAACCTGTAGCTGAATAAAACTAGCTTGACGCTAGTCAAATTGTTATCTATCTATTTATTTTATTTTTTTAAATGTAGGATTTATATTTCTTACACAACTCTACCCTGTATTGATCTTTTCCGCTTCAGACATAGATTAGTTTTATTTTCCCTTTCTGATACAACACATTGGAAGAAAGATTTAGAAGTTTTCCATTTTTCTCATTTTTCTCCTAGGGAATGATTGCTATTTTATATTTCTTTGTGCGTTTTTACTTGATAGTATCTAAGAAGATGTATAGTACTGTAGCTTGAGGGGATACACATGGTTCCCAAGTCTAAAAGTTACTTCCTGGTGGTATTATGGGTTTTTTTAGGAGGTTCCAAGGTTCCAAGAAAACCTAAAAAGTTGGAAGGCTGGTGGAAAGGCTACTTTGATGTCATAAAATTATACACGAAATTTCTCCTTATCTTGCCTTACACTGCTGTTGTGCTATGTTGATTCCATGGTCAGGTATCAATGAAGACTGAAATCAGTTGGATCCGTGATATGCTTCGAGGTGATGATGCATTTGAATTGCAAGTTAAACTACTCAAGCAAGTTCCAGAAGAGTACCCATACAAAGATGATGAGTAAAATGCTGGGCTACGTAACCTGATTTGTACACAGTTGTGATTTTTGGTTGCACCTTTCCTTGAAATCGAATGCTATCCGCTTGTTTTCTCTGTAGTACACATTCGCAGGGCACATTGAATAGATAACTGTATTTTCATTTACTCGCCATTTTATTTTTACGGTTGCTATGAACATGGGCTAGCTTGGCAAACCACTGAATGCTGCATGTTTTGTTCCTATTTGGTTGTAAGAACAGTCATCGAATGAATCTATAGACTACTAGAGTTATTCTACCGACCACGAATAAGCATATCATAATATTCTAGTGGGCGTCATAATTCCCATTGAATTTTAGCAATTCCTGTTGTTTTGCCAAGATTAGCTCGACCTTTCCATTGAGAGCCTTAATAATATCATCTGATCCGTCCGACTTAGCAACTCTAACCAGAAAAAAGTTTTTATTTCTTGCTAAGCACAGCAAAATAAAATTATGTTGAATATATGAACATACCAGTAAAGATATCAAATAAGGAAAATACTTCCCTCTTACAATGTAAGTAGGCGCTTCTACATTCCTGGCAACAGTAGTGTAACATTATCCATCAAATAAACTGAGAAAGGAATTCAGAAAAGAAAAAGAAAAACTAAAAACAATTATTAATTTGGCTTCTTTTAAAAGTGGAGTAATGCTTGTAACCAAACAAAATCTTGTAACCTAGGCACCATCCTATTAGCTAACCATATGTTTAGCAACTAATGTGATAAGAAAACTATGATCCTTTTAGCAACTTCTGTTTCAAATAAGGTACCGGTTATGGAACAAATTTGAGACTTCGGTTTTTGTTAGAAACTAAATTGAAGAAAAAAGTTTCAAATTCTTGAAAATACGCAATTTATAATGAGACGTAATTCACGCTTTAATACGAAACTCAATCTATAATTTCAAATTTGAGGCGTGACAATATCACAATTTTAAGTTGAAGAATAAAGAAAATGGGGTAAAATTAAAAGAAGGGACCGTTCAAAATATCAATATCAATATCAATAGAAACTGATTGCGATAATGGTTCTGTAAACATGCAATTTTGTCCAGCAGCTTAAAAATGGAACTTCAATCACCTTTACAATGTCACTGTCAAGAATAACTTTGCCATTTGGCATGTAACTAATAGCAAATACTAGAAAGAAAGCAAAGTACATAAACAATATTGGGCACCTCTCGCAAATAATACCCAATCATGATTAAACAAAAATTGGATTCATCAAAAATATAAATTGGGTTCACTTGGAATTGGGAAGGGTTTTGGGTGGAGTCAACTAAATAGGGGGGAAGGTTTCTGTGCTCCTCTTTCTTTTTATTATTATTTTTTTTCCTTTTTAACCTGGCTCAAAACAACGTCGTTCTAATGCCAAGTCATTTTAAAAAAATTGAACGCGCTTGGACCAAAATGACGTCTTTTTATCCAGACATGTTTAGAAAAAAAGAAAAAAAAAGATGCGTTGCGCCTACTGCTGCACGCAGGCCTTTCGTCGAGCACCTTGTGTGCATATTAGGGTTGCCCATCTGCTACCCACAGGCACTGGTGGACTCAAGAATTTTTTAGCGGATTTGCAATTTTGAAAGGTTAAAAATTCTTTGTGGATTGAACATCTAAGGTTTTTTACCTAGATTGACCTTAGGTCCCTTCATGCATTCATATCATACATGAAAAATTGTTCTATATAAAAATATTGACTAAGTATGAAAAATGGTTTTTCGGAATAATAATTTTCTCAAGATAATTTTTGGCGGCTTTTATTCCTTACACATCAAATAAGAAAACTTGATTTTATGGGATTTTATTATGAAGTATATATTGACTTAACGAGCTATCATTTTTAGCCAAAATCGTATTTTGCACTAAAATCGATTTTTCAAATTTTGATTTGGGGGGAATTTGATTTTCTAGTATTTTTATTTGAATCCAAATGGGGGGTACTTCCTTATTTATATTGTGAACTTAAGTAAATGGAGTAATATAAAATAAAATGAAAGTAAAAATACAAAGACATTTACTTAAATGTTGAAGATGGAATTAAGGAGCAAATGGGCAATTTCAAGCACCAACAATAGTTTTTTTGGCGAGGAGAGGTGCAGCTGCACCGCTTTGCTCCTTAACAGATCCGCCAGTGCCCATAGGGTCGCTTGAGGACCTCACAACCATTTTTTCTGGCAGCCATAGGGTCACCTGACTCCATTTATCCCGACGTACGTCCGCCCCTGATCCTATAGCTAACCATTTATTTAGCAACTAATGTGATAAGAAAACTATGATCAATTTAGCAACTTCAGTTTCAAATGAGACCGGTTAGTTATGGAACAAAATTGAGACTTTTTGTTAGAAACTAAAGTGAAGAAATTTTTTTCAAATTCTTGAAAATATGTAGTTTATAATGAGATGTAATTCACACCTTAATACGAAACTCAATTTGTACTTTCAAATTTGAGACGTGACAATATCACAATTTTAAGTTGAAGAATAAAGAAAACGAATGTAAAATTAAAAGAAGGGACCGTCCATGAGGACTAGTGCACCCCACACTCCACCGTCCGCACCTTATTTGCTTGCCCATTAAGCTAAAGCTTGGAAAGAAAAGAAGTTTAAAAAAAGGCTAAAGCAGATGAAAAGACTTCGGGCTAATCTGTCAAATATGAAATCAATCAAATAATATCGCACCACGTGTATGAAGCACATTATTGTAGCTTGCATAGCTAAGAAATATCTGCAAACTATTGCTACAATCTTAACAAAATGTATATGCACGTTCAATAATTAATTAGCAGAGATTAACCATCCCATCATATCATGTGATCAATTAACTCGTTTAACTATCTTATCAGATAATGTGATCAATTAACAAAATAGCTTCAAGCAAACAACACAAGATTTGTTTATGAGATTCTCTCAGAATAAAATTTGACTACATCCTCGTATGATGATGATTTTTTTTTGGGGTCAAATCCTTGTATGATGATGATTGATAATGTTGATTTACTACGTCCTCGTCTCTTCAATTGCACACTCTGAATCATATTTAAGTTTTTCTCTGAGTCAATTTATCTTAAGTTTATAAGAGACGGAACACGGGTAATCGAATGAATTTCATATCTAAGTTTCTCTTTAAGTCAGTTTATCTCAACTTTATAAGAGACACAATACGGGTAATCGAATGAAGAATAATTACAATAAAGAGGAAAGCGTTAGTTAATTGCACACTACTAATGAACGAAGGGTATGAATCCTCTCATATCACAATAACACATGAAAAGATATAATTAAAGATTCCTCGTCAAAAAAGCACAATAATGCAAACCACCATTCCCAACATGATTTGTAGCATCACCAGTTCAAAACTGAATGCCGACATACTTAATTGTTGCATTGCATGTGAGATACTTTTGGAGGGAATCAAGGTAAAAAGCCGATTCAGTTTCCATTTTTGATGAAGAACTACTTAATAATACTTATCAATAAATGGAAGCATATATCCTGATTGAGCCACGTGTCTCTTGCTTGATATGACAAACTAAACGATAAAAAAATGTAATTAATTAAAAAATAATAATTAATTTTTTAAAAAATAAAGCAAGGTTATCTCAAAGGACAGTCAGTGTCTCTGAATGGTGTCCCTACCTTCCAGCATGGATATAGTGAAGGGATGTCAACATTGGTCGGGGTGGCCTCCATTTACAACGCAGAGAAAGGAATTAGCTAAAGGGGGTAGTGTAGTGAGGAATGTGAGGTACTAATTCATTCGAAGACTTTAACACATCAAAAAAAAGAGGAAGATTCATTCAAGGACTTCGACTTTTATTTTTTTGTCTGACAATATTCTTTCAAAGATTATAGCTAAGAAATTTTAGAGGTGTTTGATTGTCCTCCAGATTAATGTGCGGTGAGAGTCTTTCGATGTGACAGTAGGTAGCACTACGCGACACGCGAAATAATCTTTCGTTTGTTTGAATAAATTATGGTGTATTGACTTAATAACAAAATGTACATCAAACAGCTCAACATGTCATTCGATGTGTTACCTTCTCGCACAATAAGCTTTTTCAAAGATAACCCTAGATGACCCTATAACCCCCTAGTCTACATGTTGCCCTATTGAGTTATTGTACAAATTTGGAACATTTCTGTGTCGGCATTTTCGAACGCGTGTTCTCAACATTAGCCACAGATTCCCAACCAGCTCAGTACTGAATGCACAGCCTCTATATATACATATATACATATATATATATATATTATATTTGTGTATATATTCCAAACTTCATGCAAATCACTATAAATAATATATTTCTTCCTAGTTTCCAGTAAACCCTATTTCTTCATATATGATCCGTATATACTTGACGAGCAAGAATGAGTTAATTTGAAGAGGAAAAACCTATCAGAATTACATCAAAGGTCCTTTACAGGTGAGTGCACTTCTTCATCACGTTCCCATCAAAGACTAGAAATACTTGCATGTTTATTTGTTACGGGAAGTTTTCAAGTTGGTCAAGTTTAATTTGGGTAGTAATTGATACAAGTGATGAGTAGAACACTCCCTAGGGGCCGGTCGTTATCGTTTTTTTTAGCACCGCGTTTTCTGTTTTCCGATCGGTGCTGTTAAGTTTGAAAACAGAGAAAACGAAGAAATGAAAACGATATCAACTTTGTTGGTAAAATGAGAAAACGAACTTTCAGATGTTTTCTTCGTTTTCAGAGCAAAGTGAAAACACGGGAGAGAGAGAGAGAGCGAGAGAGAGAGAGAGAGAGAGAGAGAGAGAGAATCAACTGGAACAAGGACTTCATCATGCTCTGTTCCATTCTCATCTCCCACTGTCTCTTCCTTTCTCTCTTTGCCTCCTTCTCTCTCTTTGCACACAGTACCCCTCCCAACCCCAGTATGAGACCCACTCATCGAAATCACCATCTGAGTTGCTGAATTCTTGTTTTCAATGGGTCAAAAGGCTGTTGATTTAAATTTAAATT